CAGTTTTGTTTAATGATCTCACTATGTTAATGACACGAGGTCATTATAATTCAAGGTGTAGTCACCTAGCTGCGAGTTGAAACTATGTAATTGACTGATCGATAGAAGTATGAGACGCTTGATTTAACCATCATTCATCTATCAGTAGGTGGTCTAACCTGTGAATTAAGTAAAAGAAAATTCCATGTTATTTCATGAATTCATCACTGTGACTGCTTCAGGTCAGGAAATCGGTGGACAGTCGTTTGGGCGAGATACGGAATCTCTGCACTGCGCAGATATCAATTTCAATCCCCTTTTCGCTTTCCCTATGCATACTGCCTGCCGACTGATAGTTCTCAATGAACACGTTGCGAAACTTCGGTCAAATATTCGAATTCCAAAGAACACTGATTTCCGCACAGGCTAGTGAAACCATACAGTCAACAGGGTGCCGCCATTGCGATTTCACCACTGCTAACTTTAAGCGCATGTTGCAGCTTTCCTCCTGTACGGATACGAAGCGCTCAAGCCAAAGAGTGCATTAAGGTTAAGGATGACAATGCTCCGATCGAAACGCCTAGTGCTTTCCCGTTTTCCTGCTCGTTGCTCTCTTCAGATTAATGGAAACGCAGTGGAGCAGGTAGAGAAGTTCAAGTATTCGGAGTCGTGTCCACTAGTGATAAAAAGTTTGAGGAAAAGATCGACCGGCAGAGAGAAGTATCCAGTGACCTTCTGCGGGAATGAGCCCATACCATTGTGATTAAAGCAGAGCTGAGTCTGAACACTAAGCTCCCGGTATTCAAGTCGATTTTAATACCTAAGCTTACTTACGGACATGAGTCGTGGACCATGACTGAGAAACTTCGAACTCGGCTACAAGCGGCTGAAATGGGCTTTCTGAGACGACTTGCTGGCCTTACGCTTCTCGACATGGTCCGGAACCTTGGTGTACAGCCGCTGCTTCTTCAGATTGAAAAGTCACAGTTGCAATAGTTTGGCCATGAGTTACGAACGCCTCCAGAAAGAAAAACTAAGCAA